CAGAAAGTAAATTGAAAAATTTATCTACCGCAGTCCTATTAAAACCCATTGCCCTAGCAAGTGACGTCGGCTCAGGTGATCGAAGTTTGACATTCGGGTGCCTAGCTAAGAAAGCATACAGCCATGCTTTGCCGGCCTTTTTCTTCTCCATATTGAATCTATGAGATATGCCATTGCGATGGGCTAGCTCAAAAGCCAAACTTCTTAACTGATCGAGCGTTAATCCAAACAGACGTGCTTCCATGCTCAAAATGTGTTCCACTAATTCCTCTTCTTGAGCCAATGTGAAAACTGGTTTATGACGCCCTAGTCCTTTTTTTGATGAATCCTCCCTATTCAGAACGCCTCGCTTAACTTTTTTCACCCTTGCTTCAATAGTAGATCGAGGCACCCCATACTCTTTCGATGCCTTGAGGTACCCCATTCTTCCTTCTAGTACCTCCTCGACAGCCAGATGCATACTGTTCTCGTCCCAAGATTGCCTATCTGATTTTCTTGTATATTTTCCCATCGCACTTAAAAACTGAAACAAGAATTTGCTACCTAAGCACTCAAAAAAGAAATTGTTGATGTAGTTGGGTAAAACGAGATACCATCCTGTTTTACCCAACCGACAGTATCCCGTTTTACCCAACTTTTGATTTTAATGCATGTGACCATATTTTAGTAAATAAACAAAAAGCGATTCTAAAACCTAGTGCATATAACTATAGTACACAAACATATTATGCATTAAAACCACTCACCTTTAAATTAGTTTCCTTGTGAACCGAAAAATAAATATGTTCAGCAACCAAAAACACAATAATCTAACCACACACTTTCATAAATTCGCATCTTTTACCGCGTATACTGAAGATAAAGTAGGTATCTTATTTGCTTCATGCACGTAAACACCCGAAGCTGTAAGTTCGACTCACACCTCATAGGTAGCACTAATTGCTTTCAAATAAAACAGGGTATCCCGTTTTACCCACCTCTCCCCTATTCACAATTTCATTTGCCCAATCGGCAATCTCACGCAAGCCTTAATAAACCATTGAATACAATCCTGACCTCGGTATGAAAAAATTTTGAAAGTGATTCATCATACGAACACTTAAGGCTGTTTGTGAATGGACTATTTCGTTTTTCATAAATTTCAGGCGTAATTATAGTCCGATTTTTTTGAAATTTTGCACATTTGTGCAGTTAACTGTTACTATTTGCGCTGAGATCTCAAAAATTGAATAGTTTTAAAAACAAGCAAAAATTTTTGTAAATAATAGACATATCAAAAATCGAAGATCTCAGCGCGTACTATCAATGAAACATAATAGGGTTTTATGAAATGACAAATTTCCATTTTTTTGTAAATAAATCTGTAATTTATGAAAAAAGGTTTAATTTAATTTTGCTACAGACGGTGCTGCCTCTAGCAGTATATCAAATTAGTGTATGTTAACTCCGCCGCTTACTCCCACCACTGACAATGCGAGTTGCGAGCACATTCGGTTAGAATTTTTATTTCTTCACCTTCTTTTCTTTATCATTATTATGGTAATTTTAAAATAAAAAAAATTATATTTACATGACCATTTTAGATATCGCGGGACAATACGTTTTGGGAAAGTAAAATGAAAAGTAAATTATCAAACTTTTATTAAACATGTCTTCTCCCCGAAATTATCGACCCTAGATTTCCTAAGAATTTATCCATAAGGAACCCTGAACGATCATTATTTTAACACTTTTCTTATCCGAAGCGTGGGTAGGCAAAAATTTGTTACGACTTTATATTTATTTTTGCATTTTAGTGAGTTTGTCGAGGTGGATAAAATTTCATTTACTTTGCACATTTTAATTGAAACTTCAAATCGCATATACATTTAGCAACGATTTACAAGCAAAAAAGTCAACGCATTGCTTTCCCAATTCCAATATACGTGAAAACCGCGGAGAAGGGTTTCGGTACTATTCGGATACTGTACGGAATAAAAAGGTACGTTCTAATTGACTAGCGCGTATTACATTGGTTATTGTCTTTCCGCCTTAATTCTGTATTCCCTTTACCGTTGCCCCGCAGGTGCAAGTCGAATGATAGTTACAAACAACCTTAAGGTAAAAGGCAATACTAAACGGAGTATGCTTTTGGTAAAGTGTGGTATTGGCATCTGGAAGATTGGCTTTATCACATTTTTCCAAGATACACTCGAGGTCCGCGTAAATAGTAAATGGTACTTCCTCCATGTTAGAATAATGTGTAAATTTTAGAATCTTTTCAGTCGAATGGAACACTTAAAAAAAAGTTGTTATGCACCGCACAATTGTGTCACTGTATATTACAAATTATAGTGCATATAGAAATAGCAACAGGTTGTAGTAACTTTTCCTAAAACTTTATTGATAATGACCAGTTATGTAAAATACAACACCTTGTGAAGTAAAAGATCAAACTTAAGTAGCAGATTTGGTCGACAAAGGATGGTAACAGTGACAACAATTTAATAGTGTTTGGTAAAGTCTGTTTATAAACGTCTATTACAACAGTATTCATAGTAACATCCATATTATTGCAAATTGTACAATGGTGATGTCGCAATGACACATTGAGCGTGTTAAGCTGCTCCGTACTTTAAAGGGGGAAAATCACCACAAAGTGTGGGGCTATTTACTATTTTCTATTGTGATAGACTATTTCCATATTGCAATTTACTATGTAGCTTCGATTTATAACAATCTGCACAACAGTGTTGCGTTACTCATTACAGAAAAAAGTGGCACTAAAGATCAGAATGAATTAGGGAAATAGGTAAATAAAAATGACTTGCCTAATTAATACCTTTATTTATTTTTTAAAGTAGATACAAAAACAAAATTCTATAAATATCTACAAAACTAAAAAAACTACATACAGTGAGTTTTTTTTTAATGCGAACATAGGAGTTTGCATGCAATGTAATTTCCCTATGTTCCATTAAAAAAAAACACATCAATCTATGAGGTGTGCCCGGTTCACATTCCCAAAACGCGCAACTTGTGTGACTATGAACAACAACTCATAGTCTTTATGATGAAGAGCACTCGGTAAGATTTTTTTAAATAAGCCATGTGAGGCCATAGCAACTTTAGGATACATTTTTCTTAAACTTACGATAACTTGACTTCACATGGCACGCGCTGACATCACAATTCATTGTGAACCAACCTTCAATTATTTGTAGTTCATGTGCACCTGGTATTCTACTAATTTGATTTATTCAATACATAAATGAAGAAAATAAGAAAATAAATAACGCAAACAATTACAATAAATGTTCGAAGTGTCCTCCTTGACATTCTAAGCAATAACCTAACCGATTTCGTAATTAAATTGGACGGCGGTATTTTTAAAAATGTGACAGCTGTCAATTGTATCTACTACTCATTTGAACTACTCAATAGATTTATGTGTTTTTTTTACAATCGAACATAGGGAAATTACATTGCATACAAACTCCTGTGTTCGCATTTGAAAAAAATTCACTGTATGTACCTACATATAATTAATAATTAGTACTATACCTACTTCTAATTAGCTGTATGAAGTAAAACCGGACACAGTTGACTTCTGAATATCATACTGCATGTCTAACAGAAACAAAACATTGGTTATTGAATAATTTTGACAATAAACATGGTATGTAATCGTGTAATGCATCATAGTTTATTAATTTAATGTTATTTTTGGAACAAGTGGTCCCTGGAATTACTTAATACGCATGAATATATTGATTAAAGATTATGGTTTTCATTTCATAATAGGCAAATAATATTTCAGTGTTCTTAAATATGAACACCTTTTCAATAGCAGCAAATATAGGGAGTAATTCGCAATTAAGTATTATAATGGTACCGGGTTTATACTTTGTACCCCAAACCTCTACCCAATCTATCTCGAGAATGTCGTCACTATCACTGTAGGAAATAGAGTATCTAGTAGGTGTTTTTCAGGAACTATGGTATTTCCTATTTCAAATTTTGAACGGAGAGGTGATATAAGCTGGTGACATAACTTGAGTTGTGCTTTTGATGTTAATGTGTGGATCGTATTTTTAAAAGAACCCTACACATATGATGTTAATTTAGACTCTCTGTGTTTTTGTTCAGCTCTCATACACCACAGATGAATTAGAGGGCCTACATTATCGAAAACCATCCCGTAGTGTATAAGATGATGGTGTTTAGGTCTTAATTTTTTACAATATTTAACTATTAATGAAACATGTTCTTCAATAATTATTTTTAACCTTGTACCTTCCGAAAATTGTAGACTTGGAGCAGTAACGATATCAATAATTTCTCTAGGAGTGATCCAAATATTCAATATATCTAAATTTGTTGGTACAAGATCGCCAATTAGAACTCCTAAATAGCGAGTAAAACATAACATCTCACTTGCAGACATATTAATTTTAGAGTTTAAACGATCCAATGTTAATAAAGGAGGTTTGTTAGAGCTTTCTAACTCACCGTAGTTAAAAGATTTAATTCGGCTATTTAAAATTTCGAGGATGAAAAGTTTCAGATCGAATATTAAACTACTAAGAAGATACGTTATGTCATAAATACACACACCTTCAAAGATATCGTGCATTATGTCGACGCTACAATTTGAGGTTAAATGGAAGTTTTGAACATCATTCTAGATACAATTTTCTTTAACACCCGTTTCAGTTATATTATTTATTCGTAAGTCATTATCATAACATTCTTTGGTTCTTAGTAAACTATCATTTTGAATACAAGCATTAAAAGAATTTTCTTTTGGCATTTTGCAGAATCGACACCGATAGTTTGCCGAAAAACTTTCAGTTAAACCTAACATGGAATGCATTCCTAAATTATCTCCAATTATTAACCTTCGTAATACCATGGTAAAAAACTTTCATTAGATACCAAGCGGGGTACAAATATACCCCACCCCTTTTTTGTATCAGGAGCTCTAAACATTTATTGTTTAAATAAAGGGCAGACAAAAAAGTACATGTTTGATTAATTTTTAACTATAAATTTATTTATTGCATGAATTACAAATTGTTGTAATGTTAGAATGTTCGGCACATACGAATTTTGAACACTGGACGCAATGTTTTCTAGACTTTTTATCAGCATTCCTCGGACATATGTGACATCGGCCACTTTTTTTCTGATTTGGAACCTGCTCTCTATTTTCCTTATCTGTTTTCAGTTCAGGTAAAACGGTTACCATATTTTGCTTAATTTTTTCGTGCAATGAACGATCCTTATTATAGCGGCAAATAATATTATTTCTTACTAATTGATGACCTAGTTCCAATAAAAACATTCTTCTTTTATCTAAACGACCTTTTTTCCACTCTGGGTTAGCATGAATCCACAGTTTGTAAGCATTGATAGCTGCAATATCCAGCAAATGGAAGAAAATTGCCATAGGCCACCGGTTGGTCTTCCTTTGGGTGGTGTATTCTTTAGCAAGTTTGTCAGTCGTGTCTACAGCTCCTTTGGTTTTATTATAATGTAGTATTATATCAGGCTTATAATCATTATCAGCACCACTTATTTTGTCGTCTCGATGTTCAGTTGACAAAAGAACGACAGCGGAGTTTCTCTTTGGAACGTACGAGACCAGTGTTTTGTCTTTCATGAAGGCAAACATACTTGAAAAATCTTTTTTGTACCTGGCGGGAAGTAACTCGCTAGGTATATATGGCTTATTTCGCCGTAAAGTTCCACATAGTGTTAGGTTCCTCTGTAACAATTTATCTGCCAGTTCAATACTGGTAAAGAAATTGTCAGTAGTAATTCCATATCCCTGTCCTAAATGGCTTACCATATCCAAGACCACCCTCTGACCTTGACCCTTTTCTGGTTTGTTACCAATTTTTCCTAAAAAAAAACAAAATGTAAAAACACCAACAGATTTTTATAAGAAAAGTGTTACCTAGGTAAACCTGCATATTTACTGTGTAGGCAGTTTCACAGTCCGCAAGAGCCCAAATTTTGATCCCATATTTGTCGGGTTTACTCTTCATGTAAACCCTGAATGGAGCCTTTCCTCGGAATGGAACTAGCTGTTCGTCAACACATAAATGACCGTTCGGATTGAAAGATTTTTTACAATTCGATACAAATATATCGAATATATCCCGTATTGGTGCCAATTTGTCAACAGTTTTTCGTTCTTCGCGAGTTTCAAAATTATCAAATCTCAAAAAACTCATTATTTGCTGAAATCTGTTGCGAGACAACGAAGCTGATACTATTGGACGACACAAAACTGGGTCTTGACTCCATAAAACATAAACTGGTTCCTTGTTACCATGAACAGCTCCAAAATTTATAAGAAGACCAAGAAAAGCGTCCATCTCTTCTTTTACTATTGGAACAAACGCTTTGTTTTTTTTTGGAATACACAAATTCGGCTTTTCTGTTAGTTTCTCTCAAGATTATATTTATTACATCTTCAGAGAAGAATAGATCAAACGCCTCCTTTATAGATGTAAATTTCGAACTGTATTGTGTTAGACCCGATGGCAATTTTTGTATGTTATGTTTTGCCCTTTTTACTCTCGTAACGTACGGTATTTTAGCCCATTCGGAACCGTCCTTCGCTATATAACGTAAATTCTCGCCGCCCTCAGAAACAGATTCGCTTACCAGATCCACTTCATTATCACCAATGAGCAAGAGGTCATCGACTTCATCATTTTCATCCACAACATCAGTCTCTTCTATATCACTTGCAGCACCTTCCAAGGCTAAATCGTTTTCAAAGTAGTAATCAAATTCCTCTGTCTCTAATATTCGAAGCAACTCGTCATCGGTAAGTTTGTTTTCATTACGAAATTTAGGTTTTTCACTCATTTTCAGGAATATCAAATCTCACACTATTATAAATCTGACACTATTATAAAATAAAACGGTTATTTCTCTTACAATAGACGCACAAACACGCAGTGAACTGACTGCACATCGTTTCAGTAATTCGACGTACTTAGGGCGGTATTTCACGCCGGCGCAATAAAACACATGCTTTAAGTACCAAGCGGGGTATATTTGTACCCCAGCAACAAAAATTCATTATAATTACGGACTCATAGAAGGAAACTACGCGCACTTTTTAGGTACATATATATTATCATAGATAATAGATAGGAGGCCGGAGAAATAGCAGAAAAAATTATAATTATGACTTATAGCTCATAAGGTGCGCGTGGGGTACATTTGTACCCCGCTCGGTATTATGAAGGTTAAACCTAATACAAAATATACCGTCTCTGTCTTATTATCCACTGTTATGGATACCCCTTCATTTTGAAGGTAATTTAATTCTGCTATGATACTCGAAAACACAGATCTGTTGCCAAATTCTTTTCTATCTCTAGAATAAAAAAGAGCAAAGAGAAAAATATTTCCTAAAGAAGTGAATAGGCCATGAGGTATGCATGGTATTGTAACATATACTGCTCCCAGTTTGTTAGTTTCGGAATGCGATCCCAATGGATTACCGACATTATAATCATCAAAAAAAAGAAACAAAGGAAACACCGTCTTTTTGTGGAATTTACTTATTTTAGACGCCCATAAAGGGTTTTGAATAAAGTTACAATAAGTACTTGATGAGCGTAGGTTTTTTATATGCTCTCTAACAGTTACTAAAACATTAGGTTTCTCAAATATCTTTTGCAAAACTTTTCGTAGAGGAATAATTTTTCCATATACAGATACAGGTTCCAATGTTACGTTCGAATCACGTCGTTTTGAAATAATACGATGACCTATAAAGAAATCTTTTGGAGCAATGTACTCCCCTGAATTTTGAAATGACTTAAATCTTTTATATTCTGTTTCAAGACCATCGAAAGAATGTTCATACGTATCAAACAATTGTTCTATTTCGTTTAAACCTTCAGAATCATTCAAATAGCGTAACTTGTCTAATATAGTATGTTTTATATTGTGTATCATACCTTGACAAAAAATACTTGATGTTTCGTCTATAACTATTTGAATAACATTCCGCGGAATTAATGAATTACTGTACATTTTGGAGATATATTGTTTAATATCATTTTTTAAGTTACTTTTTATGTCAGAAATAGTCGGTTTACGAATATGTGTTATCGCATCATTTTCTGCACTATTAAGTGTGTCATGTTCTGAAATTGTAATCTGTGTATCTTCATAAATATTCTCAACTGATTCCGTGAGATTAGCAAGAGGCAGGTTGGGGGCAACTACATCTACATGTGAATTTAGGTGTCTACATGAAAAAACTCCATAATCTTTAATATGATGATCTAATCTTAAATGATATACAAGCGCTTTAGAAAATTTGAAACTTTTTGAACAACGATTGCATTTAAACATATTTATTTCCCTATTTAAAGAAAATTTGGTGATATTTAGAAGGCGACGTTCTTAAGTAGGTATAGCACAAATGCACCAAAATTATTGTTGGAGCTTTTCAATGTCAGATATCAACGAGGAGACAGATACAAAATTTTTGTCATGTTGGGTACTGATTTGATATAGGGAAGACTGGGGGGGGGGGGTTGATACGTTTTTTAGAAAAAAATTAATAAATATTTTATGATCATCATTTGCTAATCCATTTATGTCAGAGCTCAATTTAGAGACATTGCTTAGAAATTTGGGAACATTAAATTACTGAAAATTAAATATTTAACTTTGAATATACAATTTTGAAATTCTCGATGCAAAGTGTCTCAAACCTCCCTATACAAGGGAGGCTTGATACATTGAATGGGAGGTTTGATACAATAAGAAATTAAATATAAAACACTAAAAGGACTGCAATCTATTATTATCAGAACATTATTTAATTAATACATAATTCACAAGAAAACATTTTTGTATTATGCTTGACATCAGCACAGGCTGAATGGCACCATCTGAGACATTTCTGGCATTGGATCCACTTTTCTCTAGAACGAGACGCTGAAAATAGTGAATTGCAGTAGATGCAAGCGGCATCGTCATCGTCATCTGCATCAGAAAATGGATCCTTTTCGTCCTCAGAATCCGAGTCACCGAACACACGTTTTTCTGTTTTTGCATTTCTATCCAAAACTTTTCTTTTGGGTTGGGATTCCGTACTCTCAGCATTGAGTTTTTCAAAGTGATTATTTTCTCCAGTTTCACTACTTATTTTTCGTTTAGCCATTTCAACTTTAGTTTTCATACGTTTTTTTCCTTCCCTCATATTATACTCGGCCTCAATGGCCTCTTTTTCTGGGGTGTCGGTTAAGATTCTTGTCCGACCAGGCTTTCTGCCTCCTTTTTTCAATCGTGGTTGTGCCTTGGGATAAGGACGAACTTCTTCAGGAGTTTTAAATGAAACAGATGAGGTGCTTTGGATTGTGGTGCTATCCTGTAGAAACGTTTCTATTGGATTTGAAGTTGACTTCTGTTGACATAAAGAGGTGCCAGGTGGTGGTGTTGTCTCTTGCTGAGATATGATGTGCCAGGTTGAGCTATTGGGTCATCTCTATCGAGTTCTTTTTCAGAATTTTCCCTTAATTCCTCATATGGTCTGTTTGTAACTTCTGCTCCTGCGAAATCGAGATCTTCAAATAAATGTGGGTTAAAAGGATAAATTCCAGTGGTTGAAAATCCCTTGGTTATATTTGATGGCGAGAACGCCCTGACATAGGCTAATCCAACTAATTCCGGTATATTTTTTAATGAAATTGTTTGTCCTGGATGGCTGACCATCCATGCATCTGCCTGTTCATTATAATATCTTTTAAACGGACCAAAAACCGATACATCTAAAGGTTGTAAGCGGTGGCTTGTGTGAGGTGGTAAAGTTAGTAAATGAATGCCATTTAACTTACATTTGTCTAAGGCTTTGGGTGAAATATGGCTTTCGTGATTGTCAAGGACTAATATGCATTTGTTTTCATTGGAACATTTTGCGTGTTTTATGAAGTGATCTAGATATTTTACGAAATTATCAGCAGTCATCCAACCACTTTCATGCGTCACAGCAATGGAACCTGAAGGAGCACCTTGGATCATGTAATCCTGCATTCTCACACGAGGAAATATAAAAAATGGCGGCACAGAATTTCCTACTGCATTTATAGCACAACAAACTGTTACCAGAGTACCACGTTCTGCTGAAGTACTTTTTGAAATTTGTTTTTGGCCTTTACGCGCAATAATCTTTTGAGGTTTGTGGGCAGTAGTCACTCCAGTTTCATCTAAGTTGTACACGGATTCTGGGCCAAAAGTTTCCCGTTCCAATAAATTGCTCAAATTTTTGTAAAATTCTTGCACATTATGTCGATTGAACGCAGTGGCTCTGCCCAAACTAGTGGCTTCGGGACTTCTGAGTGATAATTGGGGATAACGTGACATGAATCCTTTTAGCCAATCGTAGGAAGCACATTCGTTTTTCTTCCAGTTTTCTGGTAGCTTTTTGTTATTTGCTTGACCAAATTCATACGCAAACTTCCTTGTTTGCTTAGGCGTAAGACCATAGTGGAGGTTGGCAGAAGTGAGCAAATATTCCACTAAAAGCGATTCTTCGTGACATGAAAAAATTTGTGAAGTGACAAAATTTGGTGTAAAAGATGTTTCTTTGTCCGTCTTGTATTTTAGGACATATCTTCTCAGTGTCATTTTGTCAACATTGTACTTTTTGGCAGTAGTCCTCAGTGCTTTATTTTCATTTACTACTTCAATAACTGCGCTTTTTAAATCGCCTGGAGAATACTTTGTGCGACCTTTAGATTTCCATTTAAACGGCATCTATAACAATATAGGTACCTACTTAATTAGCCTATATTATAATTGCCATGAAAATCACATAAATACTTGTTCAATAATTATAAATAAATAAATAAATACAAATAGGGAGGTTTGATACGCGTATCAACCCTCCCGATACAAAATGTATCAAACCTCCCGGAATGTCAATTTATGAAATACGTAGCATAAAAGTATTATAAACATTGGATTAAAGATCTGTACTGGTGCCCTAATATTGAAAATGAAATGCGCTTGAAGCATAATAGGACAGCATGTCCTTAATGTTGCTATTAAATCGCTAAATCCTTACGTTTGGTATCAAAAAACTTACATCGAATGGGCAGAAAACACACTATAACCTTGAAAACGTTCAAACAACACGCGATCGTTCTGGGATTCTATCACTAACTGTTTTTACACCCACTGTCTGCACTGCACGAAGTTAAGCCTTCTTTACGAAACCGAAGCGCGAAGTTTGAAGATGTATCAAGCCTCCCCGTGTATCAAACCTCCCCAGTCTCCCCTACAAATAATTGTATGAAAGTCCATACCACTTCACTTTCCTTTGGATATTCTGCTTGAACAGCATGGA